CCTGCAGGCACTTGGCTCTCAGCTTTCATCGCTCTACCAAGTCAGCTACTGCGTGGCCATCTGCTTTCCAGCTTCCACAGTCTTTTTGACATCCTTCGTTTTCCGTCATCACCCCTTATGGATTTATGCCTTGTTTATTTCCTCTGCTGTCATCACAGTGGCGTTTTGGAAGGAGCAGTGATAAATCTGTCTGCTCAATGTGCCATGTGTTTCTAGAAGTCCGCTCGCTGGGGTTTAAGCAGGGATGTGATCAGGTCCATTACAATGTAAGAGCAGGGATGCCGGCCTCAATGGAAGAGGGATTACTGGGGTGGGGAGTGGGATTGGAAGCAGAGAAGAGTTTTGTTTGGTGGTTAAGAACCTAGACTGACCTGGGGCGGTGGCTCACGCCTGTAATCCCAACACTTCGGGAGGCCGAGGCAGGCAGATCACTTGAGTTCAGGAGTTCAAGACCAGCCTGGCCAATATGGCAAAACCCCATCTCTACTAAAAATAAAAAAATTAGCCGGGCGAGGTGGCGCATGCCTGTAATCCCAGCCACTTGGGAGGCTGAGGCAGGAAAATTGCTTGAACCCAGGAGGCAGAGGTTGCAGTGAGCTGAGATGATGTTGCACTCCAGCATGGGTGACAGAGCAAGATTCCATCTTGGGGAAAAAAAAAAAAAACCTAGAGTGTGGCCCAGGCTTCTGACTGTGTTGGCAGACAAGTTATATTATCCCTTAAGCCTCAAAAAATGGAAATCATGATGGGAGCCCCTTGTGCATGCGATCTGACGAGTAAATGAGAAAACACGTGGGGTGCTTAGCACAGTGCCTGCTATACGGTGAGCGTTTCATACATGTGCACTACTGTTACTTCCACTGTTACCAAGTGAAGTATGGACTTCCCCAGGGAGGTGGCCTGAAGGTGGGGAGAAGGGTGTGTCTCCTTCCTCAGAGAGTGGCAGAGAATGAGAGAATGGTTTCAGCAAATCAGAATAGTAGCTGTGCCCACCACAGCCCCAGGGCTTGTTCCCAGCTGCCCTGACCCAGGGTGCCACCCAACGGCTCTAGGACAGACAGTCTCTGTCCTCATCCAGCTGCTGGAATGCCTGAGGGACTTGGCTTGGGGCCTGGGGTGAGGGTGGGAGGACAGTGTGAAATCAGAGCCAGCCGGGGCCTCCCGGAGCCTTGGCACTGGGGAGAGCCAGACGGAAGCAGGACAATACATGCCCCACCAATGGAGGAGTGTTCGGGGAGAAGGAGAACCCCATCTTCCTAAGGTCCTTTCACACTTTCACGTTTGCATCCTGGGAGTCACGCAGCAGGGTGCTCCCAAAGTGCAGAAGAGGATGTGTGGAGGGGCAGAGGTGGGCGGGGCACCAGCCTGTGGTCTCCTTGCTGGGGGTGGGACAGGAGAGAGAGAGGATGGACTCCGCCCAGTCAGGTTGGGGACAGAATGAGTGAGATTCACCGGAAGTGCCAAATGGTCTGGGAGTGTTGCCAGCACTTTTGGTGTCTCAGAGGCACTCAGACCACCCCCTCATCCTGGCTGGACCTGAAGCCCCTTGGCCTCCTGCATATAGATGCTTACTTATCAGCCAAGCAGACCCACAGGGCTGAATCCAAACTCGTTCTGGCTGTGTCCACAGACCCCCATGTCCATCGGGCCCTGTGTGTGGGGATAGTGGTAAAGGAGCCAGACGTGGTACCTGTCCTCCGGGCCCTCACACCAGGGGAACAGGCAGATGGGAGTGGGAGATGATTAGCACTGAGGCACACAGTCCTCTTGAGTCTGTAGGAATGGGGGGATGGGCACCAACCCTCCTGGGGTCAGGAACAGCAACTCAGAGAAGGAGTCCTGGAGCTGCCTCTAAAGGCCGACTTCTGCCGCAAGGAAGAAGGGTGCTGTAGGTGGAGGGCAGGCGGGGCAGAGGCCAGGGCCATGCCAGCGTAGGGTGGGGCAGAAGAGCCCTCAGGAGGTGGTGGGGGATGGGCTGGAGGGTAGCCTCTGCAGCCTGTCCAAGAGGGTTGGCTTGAAGAACTCTAAGAGACTTTCCAGGCTGACAGGCGCTTTAGGGGCTCTGGGGAGCGGTCACAGCATTTCACCAGTGTCAACTTGGACCAGGCGGGGAGGAGGGGAGGCTCTGCTCCCAGCTTCCTTTAAAGCCAGCATTTCTACAGGGAGAGAGGGAGGCTGGGTCACACGTGGGGTCCTCTAGTTCACCCCATAGACCCCCCCATCCAACGACTCTATGACCAGGTCCCGGAGTAGGGGGCAGGGGAGTGGGCCCCCAGGTCTCTCCTGTTGGTGGTGGGCAGCACTTTGCTGTCTCCAGGTTACAGTGAGGCTTCTGACCCAAGTCACATACTGTCTGCTCCAACCTCTTGTGGGACTGCCCAGCTCCGCTATAGTTAGCTCGAGGAGGGGCGTGGAGGGGAAGGGCTGAAGGGCTTGGGGATCTGGGTGTGTCTGCCGCGCAGAGGACCTGGTAGTGAGCCTGTCAGAGGAAGGAAGGGCTGGCTGCCGGCCGCCTGGGTGATTTTTTCCAAGAAGACACTGCTATTTATACTTCTGTAGCTTGGGATCGACCTGTTGTAGATGAGGACGTGAAGGCCCAAGGCCACAAGTATCTACAGCCAGTCAAAGAGTAAAAACTTGGGTTTCTGACTCCCAAGACAGCAGCTGGCCTGATTCCTGCAGTGGATTCGGTGAGGGTCGCCTCGTGCACCTGACTTCTCCCGGACTGTTGGTGCTGGGGTGAGGAGCATTGGACCCCTCAGCCACCAGGTCAGAAGACCCCTTAGCTAGGATGGGTGAGCCCCCACCTATGTCCTCAAACCATGGAATGCTAGAGGAAGGAAGGATCCCAGGGCCAGCTGACCCCATCACCCTCTGCTGACACTGCCCTGGGAGGCTCAGGGAGCCCCAAGCTGCTGGAGCACTTGGGACACTCCTTTCTCCCCGTCAGGCCTCGGCTGCCATGGTTTTAAACTTGTATTTGGGGTGAAGTATTTGAGGCCGGGCTCACGGTTGAATGGGAGTCTGCTCACCTGAGGGCAGCCCAGTGAGCAGACACAGCCTGGTGCAGGCAGGCTGGACTTGGCTTGAGATCCTGGCCATCACGTTCCTCTTGTGTGTATCCCAGGGCAAGTGACGGATGAGTCCTGAGTGTATGAGGGGAGATGATGGTACAGTCTGCCTGGGATGTTGTGAGGAGCAAATGAAAGGGTGTGCACCTGGTGCCCAGGACCAGCCTGGCACGTGGCCATCTTGGGGTTGTGAGGAGCAAATGAGAGGGTGTGCACCTGGTGCCCGGGGCCAGCCTGGCATGTGGTCATCTCAGGGTTGTGAGGAGCAAATGAGAGGGTGTGCACCCGGTGCCCAGGACCAGCCTGGCACGTGGCCTTGAGCACTAGGACTGCATGCAACAGCTGCTCCTCTGCCCACTCCCATGTTAGAGGGATCTGTTTCCAGCCAGCAGGGCAGTCTGGGTGACTACAGGAGGACTCCAGGGCCCTCAGTAGGAGTTTGGTCACCTTGGCTTTCTTCTCTGCAGCTCTGGACACAGCCAGGGACCTGTCACTGGCCAGGGGACTTAGGAGACCACACAGACCACCCACTCAGCCTGGATCTCCCAGTTGCCAGGCCCCCTCCTCTGAAATCTGGGCTTTGGGGTCCTACGGTCTGAGCCACCCTCCCAGCCTCACCCTACACCTGCCTTCGGCGGTACTGGCTGTTCCTGACTCTTTCATGTTCTTCCAGCCTCTCCACATCTGTCGTGTTTCCTCCTCCTCTCCCTGCTGGACTCCGGGATTTATCCCTGTGCAATCTCTGCTTAGCCCACCCAGGACTGTGGCTCATCCTGGCCCTCGGACCTGGCACCACCTGCCCTGAGACCTCCCAGACAGGAGATTGGAGGGTTTGTGCCTCCCCATCGTCCCTGCCTGGCAAGAAGCCACAGGTCCCATGGGTCCTGCCTCCCTTTGTTGCTTCTGCCCAAGTCGTGGCTGCCGGGGTCATCTCAGCCCTGATTGTCTGTGTGGCTCAATTCTCCCCAGAACTGCTGCCCCCAGAAGCCTCCCAAACTTTCCTCCAATTCCTCCAGGACAGCTAGGAGTCGAGGATCGGGCTGGTCAGCAAGCCAGGGTACTCCTGCTGCTAAGCCATAGTGGTGTCAGCCTAAGGTCCAGCAGGGGCAGCACAATGGACACTGGGCCCAGACACAATAGCCATGCCTGAGGGCCACGCAGAGTGAGGCAGGGGCAGAAGCAGGTGCCAGCTGGGCCTGAGCTGCCCTCCCCAAGGCTCCCCGCCTGCATGCCCCTGGCAGCAGGAGTGTCTGGTGGGTACAGATTGTGCCTGCTCTCCTCTGCCCGGTTCCCCACCACTGCTGCCAGGGAATGCGGCTGGAGGAAGGCGGGAGTAGATAGGGTGTGACAGAGGCTGAGGCCAGCCCTGCAGGGGGACAGGCACTGCTGCCTGGGCTCTCTCCCAGGGAAGAGCTGCTTTCCAGACCTCGTCCTTCCATAGATGACCCAAGGTCTCTGCCTGGGTGGGGCCATCGGAGGCTCTGTTGTGTCAACTGTGATGTGATGTTCTCCAGATCCTTGTCGGGCCTGGCTCCAGGGTCTAGGCCTAGGGATGCAGCCTTCAGGGTTGGAGAGCAGGGCCACAAGAGGGCTTGCTGATCCAGGAGGCTTTGGAGGGAAGGACCTTGGGGCTGCATCTGGAGGGGAGGCTGCAGCGGTAGGGCAGGAGGAGCGGGGTGGAGGTGGCAGCGTGTGCAGAGGCGGGGCACTGGGGCTGGGGTCATTGATCTGGAGTGCCCAGGAGGTGAGATGAGCGTGGCTGGGAGGGCCTCTGCTGCTGGCTGCAGGATGGGTGAGCCAAGCGGGGGGCCGGAGTTCTACAGTGGTGGGGCTCTGTGCCACTCCCTCCTCCCCTCCCAGCCCAGCCGAGGCCTCTCCGATGGGTCTCACAGGCTGCCCCCGCTCGCCCCCCTCCCGTCCCATCTCTAGCCACAGGTGGGGCCTGTGCCTGGATGACCCTCCTGCCAAGGACATCATCGACTTCCCCTCGGTGCCGCCCGGCATCCTCTATCATGTGAGCCACCAGTGCCGCCTCCAGTACAGGTCCTACTCTGCCTTCTGCGACGACATGGATGTGAGTGGGCTGGGATGGGTAAGAGGGTGTGGGGAGCCGGTGGGAGGGCTCAGGGGGCAGCCCTCACCAGCCCGTGGATGCCGGCCTGGGAGGAACCTCGCCTGGCCTGGGCTGCGCCCCCAAATGACACTGTGACACGTCAGACGCCTGTGGGAGGGGCCAAGGATGGGCAGCCACAGACCCAGCTCTGAATTCTGGGTCAACCACGGATCCACTGTGACAAGTCCCTTAGCCTCCCTGGGTCTGGCTTTTAAGAGGGAAAAGGGCCAGGCGCGGTGGCTCACGCCTGTAATCCCAGCACTTTGGGAGGCCGAGGCGGGTGGATCACAAGGTCAAGAGATCAAGATCATCCTGGCCAACATGGTGAAACCCCGTCTCTCCTAAAAATACAAGAAATTAGCTGGGCATGCCTGTAGTCCCAGCTACTTGGGAGGCTGAGATAGGAGAATGGCTTGAACCCAGGAGGTGGAGGTTGCAGTGAGCCAAGAATGCGCCATTGCATTCCAGCTTGGACAACAAGAGCGAAACTTTGTGTCAAAAAAAAAAAAAAAAAAAAAAGGGAAAAGGAACCTGTGTGGGGAGGGTCTGTTTATTCTGGAGAAGACTGCCTGGAGTGATCTTCTAAAGGGAGTGTTTCCAGAGGCGGGGCTGGGCCGGGAGAGGGGTGGAGAGCTGGGGAGTGCTGTGAGCAGCGCAGCCCTGGGCCCCCCACACCACCATAGGGTCTGGAGAGGAAGGTGGGAGCAGACACAGAAGGAAGAAGGGAGCTCTGGGGGTCTGTGGACCCCCAGCCATGTGGAAGGGTGTCCAGGGGGCCCTTGGGGATAGGGTGGAGGCAGGGTGGCTGGTGGCATGGGAGTGGGGTGGGGTGAGGGTGTGGCTTGTGCCCCCTCCTTGCAGAATGTCTGCCACACACTTTGGTGCTCTGTTGGGACCACCTGTCACTCCAAGCTGGATGCAGCCGTGGACGGCACCCGGGGTGGGGAGAACAAGATAGGAGGTGCCCAGTCCCAGCGGTGGGAGGGAGAGGCCAGACCTCCTGCTGTGTCCGGTCCCGGGGGTCAGCCCCAGCTCACAGTCTTGCTGTGCTCCTAGCAGACCCCCACTCTCTGCAGCCCAAGCCCCCATCTACAAAGTGGAGGCATTGGGGACAGGGCTTGATTCCATGATTCCCTGGGTGTCTTCAGCTGAGTTGGCACGTGGGCTGTACGCCCTGCTCAGCTCCGCCCTGCGGCCTGGGCCACACGTGATTGTGATGATTGGGAGGGGCTTCTCTCACCTTCCATCCTTCCTCTCTGCCTTCCGTGGCCTTCTCACCCACCTTGTTCTTACTAGGGTGAGGATGACTGATAGGCTTGGGGGTGGGCTGGCTCTACCTCCATCTGTCTCAGTAGTGGTGTATCAATGGGGAGTGCGTACCTGTGGGCTTCCGGCCCGAGGCCGTGGACGGTGGCTGGTCCAGCTGGAGCACCAGGTCCATCTGCTCGCAGAGCTGTGGTGTGGGTGTGCAGAGCGCTGAGCGGCAGTGCACGCAGCCTGCGTGAGTGTGGGGCCCAGGGTGCCCTGGGCGATGGGACAGAGGGACCCAAGCAGTCAGCCTTGGCCCTGTCCCAGCCCCTGGCTCTTAGAAGTGTCCTCATAATGGTCAGTCCGAGTGTCCAGACCACCTTGAGTCACTTTCAAGGAGGGTTCTGGGGCTGACAGGTCCCCACTGCTGACCCCTTTGCAGAGAGGGGGACACTGAGGCCCAGAGACTAGAGAGACTCATCAGAGGCCATACGGCAAAGTAGCCGCCGGCTGGAGGGAAGATGGAGAGGGCAGTGGGGAAGAGCGTGGGCCGTGGACCTTAGATGGCTCAGGGTTTGAATCCCCTCTTCACCACTTCTCTGGGCCTCCGTTTCCCCATTTAAACGGGGGGATGTGAGGATGTGGTGAGGCGCAGAGCCCAGCAGTACCGTAGACCAAGGCACTGCCCAGCTGATTCCCTCTTCACGAGGCCGCCCAGGGAAAGCATGGGGTTCACAGCCAGCCCCACCCAGGCCCTGTGCTTGGCTAAGACTGGCCTGTGGCCCTCCCTGCCTCCAGACCTCCAGGTCTGAGCTGGGTTGGGTCCAGCTACCCTGGCCTAGATGGGGAGGGTTTCAGGAGCTGTGACTTGGCAGACCTCTCAGCTGGCTGGGGCCCTGGGGGCTTTTTTTTCACACCCGGGCTGGGGGAACTGCCACCAGGAGAGAGGCTGAGGACTCGAGGGCTCAGTTAAGATGCTGGTGTCATGGGCTGGGGACTTGAGAGCAGTCCCTCCAGTAAGTGCCAGTCATGCCTGCAGCTTGTCGCAGCTTCTCAACAGCCCTCTGCAGAGTCAGCCCCAACCCCATTTTACAGATGAGGAAACTGAGGCCCAGGGGTTGGCCAGAGACTTGCCCACAGTCACACAGCAGGTTGGGGACAGAGCTCAGGCTTCCTGCCGCCACTTCCCCGCAGGATCCTTACAAACAGGGAGGGTGTGTCTGGGCCAGAGCGGGGGCAGCCCATGGGAGGAGAGCATGTGCGCAGAGCTGGGTGGCAGGGATCTTGGGGTGTGGGTACAGGAGGAAGCCGCTCACTCCGGGCTGTGGCCACGCAGTAGCACTCACCGGGCCCTCCCTGCATCTCCCCACAGGCCCAAATACAAGGGCAAGTACTGCGTGGGCGAGTGGAAATGTTTCCGCCTCTGCAACCTGCAAGCCTGCCCCTCTGGCCGCCCCTCCTTCTGCCACGTCCAGTGCAGCCACTTTGACGCTATGCTCTACAAGGGCCAGCTGTACACATGGGTACCTGTGGTCAATGACAGTGAGTGCTGCCTCCCACGGGGACACTGAGGCTCAGAGGGCTGGGGCTATGTGTGTGCCCAAGGCTACCCTGTGATGCAGCAGGAGGCTCAGTTTCCACCCCAAGCCTGGGCTGTGCCACTGTGCCCTGGGGCTGCTGCTCCCCCCAGCTCCCCAGTCTGCAGCCTTGCAGATAGCTACCAGCCCAGCCGGAGCCTCCAGCCTGCCATGGATGTGTGTCACGGAGGGGTCTTCCTGGTGGCCTCCATAACTCCTGCCCCAGCTGTCGCTGATGGCTCTTCTACTTGGCCCCCAGTGAACCCCTGTGAGCTGCACTGCCGGCCCTCAAATGAGTATTTTTCCGAGAAGCTGAGGGACGCCGTGGTTGATGGCACCTCCTGCTACCAGGGCAGGGTCAGCCGGGACCTCTGCATCAATGGCATCTGCAAGGTGTGCCTGGTCAGGAAGCAGCTCTCCCAGCATCGCCCGCCCCCAGCCCCACTGTCAGGCCCAGGTTCTCCCCTAGGTCCCTCCTGGTCCTCTGGCCACCCTCCCCATGCTCTGCTGTTGGGCTTCCCAGACCCCACCCTCTATACCACTAAGGCAAAGCCCATACCAGGCCTCCTGGCACTGGAGACCCCTGCCAGTCGGGGCTCGCTGCCCCTCGTCTCCTTGGATGCTGTGCCAGCACCGCCCCAGCCGGGACACTGGAGCCCAGGCAGGGGCTTGACCTCTTGCCAGCTGGCTGACCCCAGGCAGTGGTTTCCTCCCTGATAGAAGGGGTCAAATGAGGTGGCACAGGTGACATGAAGGGCTCTAGCCCCGAAGGCAGTCTCATCTTTGCCCATCTCCCCAGCCACCTATCTGCCCCACCCCTGCTTCTAGGCCCCTAAGCTGCTGGGGTGTCCAGGCCTGGGCTCAGAGGGGGACTAGCAGGGAGGGGCCCCTCCCCATCGCCTCTGATGTTCAGATTCCCTGCACGCTCTGGTCAGGAGCCTGTGGTGAGTCAGGTCCCTGCCTGCCCGCAGCCTTTGCAGAACTCCCTTCTCTTGTCGCATGTGATGCTCGAAGACATGCCTTTAAGGGAGGGTAGGGCTCTCCCTGTCTCAAGGCTCAGGGAGGTAGAGAAGTTCACCTGGGTCAGAGGCACAGCTGGGGTGGGTCAGGGCCAGAGAGAGACCTCCCGACCCCCGACTCCAGCTGTCTCCTTCCTGACCCTGGCTGGCCCCCGGGGCTTGGGGCCACAGAGGAGCTGGCCGCCAGCACCACGGGCCTCCCTCCCTTGTGTGTTGCAGAATGCGGGCTGTGACTTCGAGATTGACTCCGGTGCTATGGAGGACCGCTGTGGCGTGTGCCACGGCAATGGCTCCACCTGCCACACCGTGAGCAGGACCTTCGAGGAGGCTGAGGGCCTGGGTATGGGGTGGGACCACTGTCGGGAGAGGGGTGTGCTCTTTACCTGGTGGCCACTTCCCCATCTGCCCCGGGTCCCCGCATTGGCCTCAGTGGTCCCCACCCAGCCATAGATGGCTAAGCAGGGAAGCCTTGCTGGGGTGGAATTCTTGTAGGAGTCAGGGACCCCTAACCCAAGCCCAGAGACCTGTCCCCATGGGGAGTCCTCTTGTCCCAGAGACCTCAGGCAGGGCCAGCTCAGCTTGTGTGCAGCCCCTGGGCCTCTAGGGAGGATGGTGGTCTCCTCTCAAAGCTTCTGAGACCCTCAGCTCCACGCCCTCACCTTGGGTCTGCTTTGCACACGTTGTTCGAGTGCCTGACTATGCTAGGTGATGGGGACATGAAGGTGAATCGTTCAGTCCCGCAGGGGACAGAACCTTCTGTGTGGCCAGTGCAGTGCAGGGAGGCCCAGAGGACTTTGGGAGCACCGAGGAAGATGCTCCTGGCCTGGGGAAGTCAGGGAAGGTTTCCTGTGGGAGGAAAACCCCATTGTCCTCAGATCTCAGCAGGACGCTCATTCATGTTACTATCCCTGCCTGCCTCACTTTCCTCATCTGTGAAATGGGGACAATAGTACCTACATCCTAGGGTTGTTATTCAGTTTACACATGAGCAGTGCCCGGCGCGTGATGGGTGTTACAGAAGTGGGTGAATAAAAGCAGCCATGTGGGCTGAGGAGGGTGACCCGGGAGAAAGGCCTGAGCATGCTGGCATTTTAGAAAGACAATGCCAGCCAGCCCTGGGTATTGGGTGGGCCCAGCCTTGGGATTAGACCAGTTTAGGTCCCCAAGAGAGGGCTGACGGGGCATGGACACGGGGTCAGGATTTGGGGCGCCTCTGTGAGGTTTTGGTGACCTACAACATATCTGAGCAATAGGGGGAGCTCAGACTTTTAAGGTAACGGTGGAATCTTTGGTATCAGCAGGCGGGGGGCGAGTGGGGAGAGGTGAGGGCAGCGGGTGGGGATAGGCAACCCTGTCACCCCGAGCACAACCTATACACAACCCGTGGCCGGCAGGGTATGTGGACGTGGGGCTGATCCCAGCTGGCGCACATGAGATCCGCATCCAGGAGGTGGCGGAGGCTGCTAACTTCCTGGCACTTTGGGGCGAGGACCGGAAGAAGTACTTCCTCAATGGCGGCTAGACCATCCAGTGGGACGGGGACTACCAGGTGGCAGGGACCACCTTCACATACGCACGCAGGGGCAACTGGGAAAACCTTACGTCCCCGGTTCCCACCAACGAGCCTGTTGAATTCAGGTGCGTGCTTCCCGAGGCCCAGGAGCAGGGAACAGGGGCAGAGACCCCAGGCCCATGGCAGGGTCTCATCCTGGAGGAGTGAGCCCTAGGGCAGTCACAGAGCCTGGCTCTCAGCCAGGCCCTCCTGCTGCAACCTCTGCCTCAGTTTCCCCATCTTTAAAAATGGCCCCGTGATGTAGCTGCAGTTCAGAGGTGGCTGGGGTCAGCTCCTGTAGGGCTGGGTGGATGGAGAGGATGCCTCGTGCTCATGGGGCCCACCTGCCCTGCCCAGCTGCTGTTCCAGGAGAGCAACCCCGGGGTGCGCTGTGAGTACACTGTCCACAGGGAGGCAGATGGCCATGGCGAGGTCCCACTGCCCTAGTTTTCCTGGCACTACGGACCCTGGACCAAGTGCACGGTCACCTGCAGCACAGGTGAGAAGAGAGGCAGGCACAGCCTTGCCAGCAGGGGCTTTGGTTCTGGACAGGGACGCTGGCTTCAGCCTCCAGCTCACTGCTCGGCCACCACGGGTCTGAAGGTTTGCTTCTCTGAGCCTCAGTTCCCCATCTGTGAAATGAGGCTGGCAGTTGCCCCCATGTCCCATGCCTGCTGGGAGGTAAATAGATGAGGCAGGTTGTGGGCAGCGTGCGGCGAGTGCTGTGTGCCCCAGCTCTCGGCGTTCTCCATCCAGGGGACACAGCTCCCTCTCAGTTTTGTCCTGGCTCAGCTCTGGCAGGTCTCGTACCTGCATTTCTGCTGTGTCCTGGAGACGACCCCCCTACCCCCACAGAGCCTTAGTACGTGGGCCTGTCGGGGCAGGCTGCTCCCCTTCTTCAGCCCCTCCCGTGGTCCAGAGCCTGGGGCTTCCCTGGTGGCTGCCCCAGGAGGGGCTTCCCAGACAGAAGGAGGGGGAACAGTGGAAGGTGGCAGGGAAGGGGGCAGCCAGGTTTCCCACCCCACTCTGAGGCCAGCCCAGTGGCCCCTCACCACAGCCGACTTATTTCTTTGAACTATATAAAAAGTATGATGGTTTCATTAATTCTGACTCTTCCTCCCCATATTTCCCTTAGTGCCCCCCATGCCCCTAAGTCTCCCTGCCTCTCAGAATCCCCCCACCTCAGGTCTCCCGCCCTGCCCCTTGGTCTTCCCCCCCATGCCCCTCAGTTTCCCCTGACCCCTCAGTCTTCCCCCACGCCCCTTGGTGTCCCCCACATGCTCCTCAATCCCCCCATCTCCCCCCTAACCCTTGGTCTCCCCTTCTGTCCCTCAGTCTTCCCCCAACCCTCAGTCTCCCCCTACCCCATCTCCCCCCACCCCTTGGTCTCCCCCCTCCTCGTCTCCCCACACCCTTCTGGTTCCCCCCTCCCTGTCTCCCCCCTCCCCCCGTCTCCCTCCTCCCCACACCCCTTGGTCTCCCCCTGGTCGTGCCTCTGAGTCCCCCCGCCCCTGGGTCTCCCCCCACACCTCAGTCTCCACCCTGCCCTTCGGTCTCCCTCCCCTCCCCTGGGTCTCCCCCGCCTCTCCGTCTCCTCCTGCCTCCGTCTCCTGCTCTTAGTCCTCCCCTTTCCCCTCAGTCTTTCCATCGTTGACACCCAGTGTCCTTAGGGTCTCAGAATCGGGAATCTGAGATAGAGACACTTGAGCATTCCTTAAAATGCTATTTTAAAATCATTATTACTATTTGGAGGATAGAGGTGAGGGAAGGAGGAGTGGGCAGGAGGGAAAGGAGAAGTGAGGGAGGGGGCGGGCTCGCAGGGGAAGAGAGGGAGCCTTAAAATGCTGTTGTGATGACAACATGAGAACTGGAGAACTGGGTAGATGCCTTCCAAAGCCAGGAAACCCATTTTATCTAATACAGCTCTCTTTATTTCATTTCATTTTATTTATTTTGAGACGAGTCTTGCTCTGTCACCCAGGCTGGAGTGCAGTGGTGCGATCTTGGCTCATAGCAGCCTCCACCTCTCAGGTTCCACTGATTCTCCTGCCTCAGCCTCCCAAGTAGTTGGGATTTACAGGCATGTGCCACCATGCCTGGCCAATTTTTTATTATTGTTAGAGGCGGGCTTTCACCATGTTGGCCAGGCTGGTCTTGAACTTCTGACCTCAAGTGATTCACCTGACAACCTCCCAAAGTGCTGGGATTGATTGCAGGCATGAGCCACCGCACCTGGCATAATTCAGGTGTCTTTAAATAGACAAACATGAGAAACCAACAAATACATGTGCAGCACGAAATGTGGGGGATTGTCTTTCAGCAAATTGGCTGCCTTGAAGGTGGACCGTGTAGAAGTGTACACAGAGGCAAATGCCCCGTGGTGGCCGGGACAGACAGGCAGGAAGTTCCAGGTGCACAGTCCAAGCTGGCGGGACCTGGAGCTGACTGTCCGTCAGCTGCAGCGTCCTTGCCATGGCAGCCCTCCCCTCCTGCTTGTCACAGATGGCATCTCCCTTCCAGGCCTCTTGCCATGTTCTGGGCAGGAAGAAGAAGGGGAAAGGGCTGACCCCCAGCAAGGGACTTGTGCCTGTTTCTCCCCAGCCAGGACTGTGTCCCAGAAACCCTAGTTTCGAGAGGGCAGCCTCAGGGTGTTTTCAGCAGGTCCCATTGCTGTAGTTGGAACCTTGAGCAATATCAGAATCTGTTGGTGAGGAAAGGGGGACGGGTGTGGGACTGGCAGCTCAGGGGAGGGACAGCTTACTCATGAGACCCTGCGGGAGCAGAGAAAGCGGAGCCACTAGCAGAGTGAGTCCTGAGGCTGGGCCTCAGCAGGCAGTATGGAAGTGTTTAAGTGAGGAGCGTGGCTGTGGAAAAGCCCGGGGTGGGCAGTCGCAGAAGGTATGAAGGACAAGAGCAATGCCAAGGCTGGTGTGGGGGCAGGGAGTGGGGCCTGCCCCTAGGTGCATTTCTTCTCCAGATGTTCTCTGAGCCATTGGGAAGGGTGTGGACAGTGGGGCAGCCTTGATGTCATAGCTGGGTTTGCATGCTACCAGCAGCTGGCACAGATCGAGCTCTTGGGATGTGCTGGGCACGGGCTGAGCCTGCACACGCAAGGCCACAAGCAGTCCTCCCTCCAGGGCTTAGAGGCAGGCAGGATTGTCACTCATTTCACAGAGGAGGCCGCTGAGGTTCAGAGAGGCCAAATGAGCTGCCCAGGCGTCTCAGCTAGGAAGCAGGGGTTCTGGGGATCCAACCACTGTGCCACCTCTCCAGGGACAGTCAGAGGGAGGCTATGTAGGAGAGAGCAAGTGAGAGCAGGACAGCAAGGAGGAGGCAGCCGTGGAGGTCTGCCTTCATCCTGACAGGGGCGGTAAGGTGCTGTTCTGGGAGGGTTCTGGCAGAAATGGTGTCTTTGGGTCTTGGGCGGTGGGCACCTTGGTGCCAGGCCCAGGCTGAGCCCCACGGCCCCTAGGTATGCAGAGGCAGAGTTTGTACTGCTCAGAGTGGCAGGCTGTGGACAAGGGGCACTGTGACCCCCTGGGCCAGCCTGATGACTGCCAGAGGAAGTGCAGTGAGCAGCCCTACCCTGCCAGGTGAGCAGCCCCCGTGTCCCTGCCAACTCCCCACCCCCAGGCGGCCTGGGTCTGTCACAGGCCCCTACTTCTGGGCCCCAGAGGCCCCAGGGAGGAGCACAGGCAGCCAGGTTTTCACGGGTCTTCCCAAGGCTGAAGCCCCAGCTCCCGGTCACCCCTTACTCCAGCCTGGGCCAGCCTGGACACCTGTGGTCCTCCTCCTTCGGTCCCTGGATATGGAAATAGGCCTCAGGTTACGCTCGCTTCCCCTGAGGGTAGGGTGGCAGGAGCAGAGGGGCTGGGCTATGTCACCAAACTTAGGGGGCAGGACACTTACCTGGGCTTGGAGCTCTGGAGAAGCAGCCACTGGCCTTGGTCCCAGCTCTGCCCAAACCTCGAGGGCCTGGGAGCACAACCTGGCCCTCCCTGCTGGTGAGCCTGCTGATGCCACCCATGTGCCCTTGCCAGGTGGTGGGCACGTGAGTGGCAGCTGTGCTCCAGCTCCTGCAGGCCTGGAGACCTCTCCCGCCGGGCCGTGCTCTGCATCCGCAGCATGGGGCTGGATGAGCAGAGCGCCCTGGAGCCGCCCACCTGTGAACACCTTTGCAGGCCCCCAGCTGAAACCCCCTGCAACTGCCACGTGCCCTGTCCGGCCACCTGGGCTGTGGGGAACTGGTCTCAGGTGAGTGCGGGATGGGAGGGGCCACCTCCAGCGCCACTCTTGGTCTCAGGCTACAGGGAGGCAGACAGCCTTCCTCCAGCCCTTACTGCCTGGTACCGTGGGTGGGAGTGAGTCTGGGGCATTCCAGGG